TGGCTTCTGTCTGTATACGCGAAGTTGACTGTATGTATTAAATATCTTCTTATTAAACTGTCTGGACACTGACAAAGTTCTCAATGCTTCGGTTTGAAGGTAGGGACCCTCATTATGCTACCGTGTTAGTGTGGGGCTATTTTGAGCCTTGTTAGTGGTATTAACAAGCGATTTTTATTTGTCATTGATCTATGCCCAATATACTAGCGTTATACTAGCTTTATAGGCTAAACTGTTTTTAGAGATAAAACTATTTACATTCGATAATCATGAAAACAAATCTCAGATAACGGTTGACTAGGTAACAATGTGTAATTAGACCAAAGGTTCATTTTGCGCCGGAGTTCTCCTTTAAAGTAAATCGGTTCAAAGGAGTCATTAGTTCGCGAATTGGAGGTGTAATTAAGCTGATCTCTCGCTCTCAGACACGACATCTGAAACTGGAGTTTCCATTGTCATAGAAGGCTCTATCAAATGGTTTACAGAGCACATTTTATGTGTCCGTGATACATGTGATGCAAATGTAGATCTCACCTTAAATGTCCTGCTGCAACCAAATGGGCACTGGATCTCCAGACCTGACTGAATATGGCTCTTTAAATGAGACAAAAGCTGTGTTAGTGTCCCACATTGAACATCACAAAACTCTACATGGCATTTAAATGTTTTATCATCACACATCTGTGCCTGATGCTCTTTAGCAGACCGGTGATGTTCACTGTGATTTCTGTATATGTGCGACTTCAATGAAGAAAACTTAGTGAAAATATGTGGGCAATCAGGTACACCACATCTAAATCCTGATTTAGGCACATTTCTATGCAATTTCACATGCTGCACAAAACTCAGAATTGTACTGCTCTCATTATTACATAAGTGACAGATAAACATGTTCAACTGCAAAAATCTAAACTTCACAAGCTAATAAATGCACAGCAATAAAGCATGTGCACAGCAAATTTCAATGTACTTTCTATTTAGCAACTAAATTACAAATATGAATACCAAGCACCCTTACAAGTAATATTAACCAAATTAAATAAATAAATAAAAACCACTTCATTACAGCATCTTAAATCGAACAAACACGTGCTATTAGCTAAAGGCTTGGCAGTCAAGTTAAACACTAGTTGCATAAAACCTACACAATTTAACTGCAATGTTTACAAGCTTAATGTTACATGTCTACTACCAACAACAACGTAAAATAATTTTATACCGAACACTTATCAAAAATTTAAAAGTAAAATGACAGCCCGTCCACACTTTCATGTTGAAGAAAATATAGCCAGCTAATCGTTACTGGACTCACCAAGCACAATCATGAAATTGGACAAATAATCTAGATTATCCATTTTGCAACGTCACAAAATAAAAATAATAGTTAAAATATTGTGGATGTAACAGGATTTCACGTTTACACTAAAGCATGAATTACTGGCTACGCACCTCGTCTCACTCTCATTCGAGGTCCTCCTCTGGTAATCGTTGCGCGCATGAGGTGAGCGCGAAAATTGAGTGTCGATGATGCAGCGCGTGGGAAGTCCCAACTGCCAAGATGTCCACTGAAGATGACGATTGACGAAATGACATCACACGCACTGCGCTACGCCGATTTTAAAAGCCAACAGTTTTAAACTACTTGCTGTACGTTATATAATCAAATGTCAGAGTCTAAAAGGTGTAAACAATTCGCTAAAAACGCTGTATTTGTTACAGTTGACTATTACTTTAGTGTTATTGATTTGTGAAGCTCATAACATTTTGCAACCTTTTTTTTCTTCTTTAAAAAAAATTATTTTAAAAATTACAATGGTATGCATGCTATCCAGTAGCATTTACTGCATAATCATGTTTCCAGAAGTCATAGGAACATGCAATAACAGTGGTCTATCACAGTATCTTATTGGACCTCTAAAATTCACACCAATACGCACGCGCCCACATGGCAAAATACAGCAAAATGGAAAAAATACTGTAAATGTTAAAATACAGTAGTCTATTGTAAATATTTACTGTAAAAACTACAGCAATTTTTTACAGTGTAATATAATTTTGCTTTTACTTTTTAAGCTATGTGAACTAGTAACGAAAAGGCCATTTTGACAAACAGCCACAATGATTCACGTCTGTACACAGTATTATACATCTTTTGGGAGGAATATGAGATGAAATGGGATGGTCCTGAGAAGGACATGGGCTACTTTCCAAGTTCCACCTTTCTCGATTCCTGGATCTCACTCCTTCAAAGAACAGAAAGTGCAAGACGTCTCCTCTGGGAGTTCCAGGGTTGGGGGAATCAAGCTGTTCCAGAGAGTGGCTAGCAGAAGATGAGATGCAAAAACACATGCAGACTCTTTTGGACAGGTGCCCAAGCACACGGCTAATCAGAGCAGCGGACATCTTTCTGTAAAGTCTGGTGGCCGTCAGAATGGTGCGGCTCGGAGAGCGCTCCAAAGAGCAGAGATGGAGGGGTAAAGACGGCCCCCCAACAGGCTGGCTCTGTTTGACTGATCTGTATAGGTGTAGCATATGTGTAGGGTCACAGAGGTGAAGCTCTTGATGAACTGAGCCTGTGTGATCTCTTAAAGATGGCATGAAACCATGAGAAATCTGATCAGTCCAATCAAGTGTCTTTATAAGTGTTGTAATTATTTCTGCTTTTATGCATTCAACAACTTTCAGCTGAACTTGTTTGATATTTGTCTCTTCATGGTATCATTTGTGATAATTGACCGTTCGCAAAGACCCGCCCCCCTTAGTTACTGTCGCTATGTCCGACAAGCTACGCTGCTCTCACACACACACACGCCATGTTCTCACGCAGTGAAAAATACATTGCGGACTGACAACACGCTGACAGACAGGACAGACCAGGTTACTTTTCGGTTACTTTTGATATTAAACATATTAAACAAAGTCTCACCTTTCAAATTTGGTCATTTTTTAAAAAGAAATGTAAACAATAAATACCGTTTTGTGGCTCTTTAATGTGTCGTGACAGATCGCTGTAGAGCATCAGTTAAAGCTGCTCGTGATCCGATCATCTCTTCCTTCTAGTTCATTTATAGCATCAAATAAACATGAATGAACATAAGAAGGAATGTTGTTTTAACCGCAGAAAGGCATCAGTACATTCCGTTTTTCAAGTTCAAATCCTCCCATGTTAATCTACTAACTCTCCTGACTGCTTTGTCGGACAAAATGGCGGATGGCGAAGTATGATTGGTTAGATCACCTGTCAATCAAGCTCCCTGCGAAGGGTCAATTGAGCTGCATATTGACCAATTTAGCACAAAGACTACACACAGAGACTCTGAAGCTTGGAGTCAGGATCATTTTGTAAAGATAAACCAAAATTCACAGTGATTTGTATACAACACAATATTATTTATACAATATAACAATTTCAAACACAAGAGGAATGTTACATTTTAATATGACATTTTGCATGTCTCGAGTGAGAAAACATAAAAATGTCTCTTCAGCATACTCTTTTACCCACAACACCCTATCCAATAATATCACCTTAATATCTAGCCCATGGTCCTTCTATTCTCATGGCACAGGTGGGCTCTGTCTGTCTCAGTGTGACATTGCTTACATATAGTGTCCAACGCCAAGTGCTCTTGCCCGGAAGCGATGGAGTTAAAATGGGTCTGACCGTGGGTTTGGATATGACCGTATTGCTCTGCACCTGGTCGAATCTTACAGCAGAGCCCCTTCACAGCTATTGTGGTGGAGGCGGACAGCTTTTCAGAGTTCCTGCTTCAAAGCCTGCAAAATCCAGTAAACTTAGCCACACAATCGGCTGTGGCCAAAACAGCATCTGATGTGCCTTATTTGTTGACGGAGTGAGATCTATCGCAGAGGGTGCGCCTCACATGGCTTACAATGCAGGGACAACGTAAAGCCCTTTATTCGTGGTTAGTCTATGAAGACTCTGGGTTTCTTCCAATATCTAATGCCAATTGCGACTTGAAACTAGGGCAGGCGACTGTGATGTTAGTTTTTCATTGTTGGTTGTTACACACTAGTTATCAGTCATACATGATGGGGAAAATATATTAACTCTCAATGATAAAAGTGCCTGGGTTCAGTAGAGCATTAATGAATCCTGCACCACACATAGCTGTGTGTGTGGGGGGGGAGTGAGTGCTTGGGAGTGTGTATGGTGGTTATACGCTATGCGAGAGCTCCCTCTTGGTGCCATTGCACCCATTTCTCCAGCTGATGAAACACAAACTATAGAGCAGATACACTGACACTTTGTGCTATAATGAAAACAGGAGCAAACACCACATTTTTATGATTAATTTAATCACTCAACAGAAATACTCAAGATGTATACTTTTGGAAAGTAAAAAAAGAGAACTTTTTATTCTGAAGTGTGTTGTTTTTATATTTGTTTGTGTCTGGGTACAGGGTGTGATTCACAATCAGTAATTTTATTAAGATTTTTTTTTAAATATTTTTGTTTCCAATCTTGATGAGTTATTTAAATAATTTAATATGATGTACATTTTAATTTTTTATTATTTATGTATTATAATAGTTTACTTTTTTAAGGGAATCAGATATATATGGAAAAGTCATATAAGGGCCATTTAAAAAAAAAAAAAAAAAAGCCAATAACGATTCATGTCTGTATACATCTTAATAAAGAAGCTTTTCATTCCATAGTACAAGATGTTCCTGTGAAGGAATTATAATACTTTCCAAGTTCCAGCTTTCCCATTTTCACTGATCTCACTCATGAATCCAGTTATTTTATTAAGACATTTTTTTTATGTATATATATTTATTTTCACATTTTATGTTTTATATTATACATTTAATTTTATTATATTTTTACCACCCTGACATGAGGCACAAAAACATGTTAATAACAATTATTATTATAAATGTAATAATACTAATACATGATTTACTAAAAATACATGATTTAATCAGTCAATTAATGAATTAAATCTTCTCCTGACCTTTTCTTTTTCTTCTAGGGACGCTGTATAAATTTCAATCGGATGCAGCATCAATAGACGACAGTCTCCGGTCTCTAAAATACGTTGACTTCCAAGTATATCAGATGGGACAACAGAAAAAAAGCATCATTTCCTCGAGATGACATAGCTTCTTTGGCCACTTTAGAGTATCTTGGTTCAATGCTTAAGTATTGGTTTTCCAAAACGTATAATTCTGGTATCTTTCAAGCTACTGAATGGCAAGCAGATGACTAAATAGATTAACCCCCCAAAAAGTGTCTGATTTTGCAGCCGATCTGGTTAGCTTTATTGCACAGCAAAGGCTTTTTCATGTTCTGACCATATTGTGCCTTCTGAGGAAAAAAACTAATCTTATGGACACAGACGGAGGCTATTTCAGAGAAAAAAAGAAGAAAAAAAAGCAGAATGAGATGAGGCTCTTTGCCGTTGGCTGGGAAGTAGAACTAATCCCAGTAGGCTCATGGAGTGCAGAAGTACTTTGCCTCTTGGCAATGTCTCTTCACAAAAATCTCTCCAAGCCCACTATCGTCGGATGCCTAGCGGGGCTTCTTTGACTGGAGATCTTGTCATTTTAACACTGAGAAGTGCACACGCATGACAAATTGTAGACAGAATGCCCTAAGGTATTGGATGCAGTAAGACTTTGCCCTTTAGTTTGTGAAGACACCTTTCTATCAATGCGAGGACAGCGCAGAGAAATTAATAGAGCGTTATTGCACCGCGAGACACCCTGTGACCATAGCTCTCCGGCAAGGTTTTGAGGGACAGATTTAACTCTGGTGGTTGGTGCTTCCTCCCCACTTATTTGGCAGTCTGTTCTGTGCTTACTAATGCATAGACCGTCACAATTCAGAAACATGCCCCTCAGTTAAAGGGTTTAAAGCATCAATACAACTGTCCATCCATCCGTTCTCAAAACATTGTGTGCTCAAGTTCTCTTGGGATAGGAATATCAAACTTTGATTGATGTAAAGGCAACTTTAGAGATGTATCTTTTGTATGAGGTCTGACCACTTTAGAATTTTGTACAATTAAGGAGTTCCTTAGCTGTGCTAACATGACACCCTCATCCAATATACTCGAAAGATCAAACCGAAAGGGGCGACGGACGGATAAGTATTGTTCATTTCCAGAAATTATCCACGTCGCACTCCCCCCTCCACTTGCACACAGAAAAGCGAGCAATATATATTTATTTTAGATTTCTTTAACGCGCTGTCATGACGACGATCGTGAATGATGTCAGTGTCAGTGGAAACACTGTGGGGGAGGAAGGGGGCGGCAGCTGAAGAAAAAGGCTCGAACGATCCAGTCACTTTCGATACGCTACTTCAGATGCAAAATGGATATTCGAGTCGAAATCTGACAAAGCGTGCCGGCTTTGACGGGAAGTGGTATAGACAATGACCAGTGGCTGGGTCAGTGGGATGTCTCAGTGCAAGCAGGGAAGCTTATCAAATGACACTAAAAATAAGTTCAACAACCATCAAGTTTGAGGGGGGAACAGAATGGGGCGCAGTCGCTCACATTCGGTGGGCATGCAAGTGTGCAAGATGGCAGGACCATCGGGGGGAAAAAGCCCTTGTTTAATTATTTCTTTGTTTCTATCGTCATAATTGTAGGGACGTTCATTATTGTTCCCCTCCACCCCCTCCCAAAAAAAGAAACAGCCGAATAAATACATAGAAAAGTTGAAACATTTGGAATCGTTCTCAGAGTGGCACTTGCTGTACAAGTTTAGCTAATGGACTTCATGGATAGATAGGTGAGTGTAATTCATCTTTTATTTCTTTTTATATGTCACAGATCACAGAATGCCAATTAAGTTTAAGTAAAAAATTTGGTTAGGTATTTACATACTAGTTGCAACATGGCTCCTTACATATTTTTCCACCTCAACCTCACCAGAGCTTCTGCTTTGTTTTCTCTTTTTTGTTGGTTTTGCTTGTTTTATTTACCTTTTATTTTTATATCTTCTTTTATGCATTTTATATTGTTATATTTATATTTTCATATTGATTGTGGTTCCTGTGTGTGTGTGTGTGTGTGTTTTTTTTTTTTTTTAAATAAATACGTCTAGGGACCCATTAATGCGTGTAGAAAGAGAACTGACTGTAAACCTTTTGTTTTTGCGTAGCAAATTGGATTTATTCTTTCAAGTGTTGAATTAAGCTTCAGCTAAAAAAAAAATATTATTAATAACTTTATGTAAAAAAAAAATAGGAATAATGTAAAATAGGATAATTGCACCTGTTTTAGGTGAACATTTGTTTTTAGAAATTGGATTTAAAAAAAATTGTTTTTAAACAACTCAGTGATGACAACTGTGCACTATTTTTTGTACATTAAAATGTAAAGAAACAATGTATTAGTAATGATATTTTTTATATTTGAACTGAAAACCAGGTCAGGTTTTAAAAAAAATATATATATATATATTAGTACTTGCAGCCCTTGTGCATATAGTGCCTCGTGTCCCACTGCAGTCCGGCCAATGAATGTAATTTGAATAGTAACTTTTTTCTAGTATACACAAGGCTAATTATCATTGTGTTTTTGTTTGTGATCCTTTTTTTCTTTTTTTTTTCTGACAATGTAATATTTCACGATTTTTTTCCCCCCTGACACCAATGGGTCTGCAGATATAAACTTCACTAGTGCACTGGTTAAAAACTACTTTTAAAACAGTAGTAGTGTACAGAAATAATTTGAGTAAAATGCACAGAAATAAAAAGAAACAGACAAGGAAAAGAAGTGGGCAGAAAATTTGCCCTCACAATCGGCAGCACACTCTAAAAATAGTTTGATCCATTGCAGAAAGCTGGTAGAAAGCTCAGATTCACCATAAACAATTAGACTATGTTCAGTCTAAACATTAGACTATGTAACAGTCATCTGTTTTTCTGCAGTTGTTGTCTTAAAGTAATACACACAAAAGCATTTAGCACATCTCATGATCTCATTTTCCTTATTCAGCCATTATTGACGTTTCAAACATTTTTGTATCTTTTGTATTTGCATTTTGTATAAAATAAATGGAACGTTGTTTTTAAATGATCCTGTGTCCATTCTAAGCACTTGTCAGTATCACTGAACTTTAATGATTCATCAGGCATCACACTTAAGCAGATTACTGTAAATGATTCTGCACAGCTTACACTCAGTAATAGTGAATTATTAAAAGCCATATTTTCATATGATAAACTGCTCTAAACCAAAACATCTGCTTATCTGACTATTAACGGACTGACTTAATGTGAATACACATCTCTTCTGTTGCTAACATTATTTTGAATACAGAGTTTAATCAGTTTGGTTCCTTACACATGCTCTCATTTAGGTCTATCTCCTAATTCTAGGCTGTGATAGGTTACACACTTAACTCATTGTTCTCAATCCTGCCGCACAAGGCCCTTGTTAAGCATACACTCAACCGTCATTAAACCTACAGGATTCCCACCTAACCCTGCTCTCAAGCTGTGCCTCATACACCAGTAATGCGTGACCAAAAGCTTTATAGTGTTCGGTGCTGCTCATAATTTCCCCTTGAAATGAGGCGTAAGAGACATTTCATGCACCTGGTTATGACCATAAAACCACTTCTTTTAGAGTCAAAACTTGTGCCTTTAACACAACATTAGGTCTCAAAATGAGATGTTCCACTTAAGCTAAGAAAACGCTTTGAGTTGAGTGGCATGACTCATTATCACAGGTTCACACTGTCTGAAAGATGTTTTATGGGCTGTAAATGCTAAATTATATATATAAAAAAAAAAACATCTTCCAAGTTTGATGAAGTGAAACTTCAAACTTTCTTCAAAGACTTGTTGGAATTAAAAGGATAGTTCACTCCAAAATTAAAATTCTGTCATTAATTATTTATCCTCATGTTGTTCTAAACCCGTAAGACCTCCGTTCATCTTTAGAACATAAATTAAGATTATTTTTGATGAAATTTGAGAGCTTTGTGATCCGTCCATATAGACCGCAACGTCATTGCAACTTTCAAGGCCCAGAAAGGTAGTGAAGACAATGTTAAAATAGTCTATGTAATACAGTGGTTCAGTCTTAATGTTATGAAGCGACGAGAATAGTTTTTGTGCGCAAAAAAAAAAAATTATTCGACAATTTTATTTGTTTTATATAATTATATAATTTTATTTAATTCTCTTATGTGTCAGATCCTTCATAACATTACATGTGAACCACTGTAGTCACATGGGCTATTTTAACGATGTCTTTACTACCTTTCTGTGCCTTAAAAGTTGCAATGACATTGCTGTCTAAGTTTTCAGAAAGCTCTGGATTTCATCAAATATTTATTTATTTATTCCACCAGAGGAGGTCCACTTTTTTTTTTGCCAAATAATTTGGTGTTTGGTTATTTTATGCCATCTTTAAAACTTGTTATAGTATTACATTTTCTGGAAAAAATTTGTGTTGTCAAACACAGAAATATAATGTTTATATTGTTCTAAAAGAGCAGTATGTGCTTTGTGAACAAAATCAGACAGCATTTTCTCAACTAACGATGGCCATAAAACAGAAAGGGCAGATTAATGCAGCTGTTCTCTGTTTAAGCTGGTCTGAGTTTACAGGTTATACCAGTTTTCACAGTTATCGAAGAATTGTGGGTTACGGTAATTAAACCCTGCTGAAATACTAACCTTTCAAAGAGAGGTCGCTGGAATCAGCTGGTTTCTTTTAAGACAGTCTTGTTAGACTTGACACTTGATTTTATGCAATGCGTTTCAAAGTGAATAAAACCAAATCCTGCTCATGCAGTGAAGAGTTTAACTGCACAATGCAACATGTGGAAAGTGCAGGTGGGGGATTAGTGTGTTATGGTATTTTACTTAATTTTAAAAAAAATAATGTTTTACTTAAAACAATTACATGGAGTTTTAGTGATTTCCCCCCCTAAATGATGTTATGCAGCGTAGCTCATAAAATCAAAGCAAACCAACCACGAGGCATTTGCTGACACTGAGAGCCTGCACACTCACCTCAGTGCTGGGAGGGTTAGGGGTGGGCGAATCGCTCCGTCTGTTAATGCTAAAAACCAACATACGAGTGTCACTTCACTTTTGACTCCAGCATGAGAGTGAAAATATTGCTCTCTGCACAGCTTGCTACAAGAAATGACTGGCATGTCTTTTAGCCAATCCAAAATGAGAAACAATAAGCCGCCACGAATGAGGGCGGAGCCTGCAGCAGCTAACAGAAGTCACCTTGCCACTGGTCAGAAAAGTTCAGTTAATGGACATGAAAGAAACAATGACCGGAGGTGGTTTTTCTGCTGTTTTCAGAACCTTCGTGTCATCTGAAGCCCAGAACAGCTTTTAAAATTTTACAGCAGATGTTTGAGCAATTTGCCATAATATTTCAGGCTGCAACAGAAAAAGGCTAGAGTAGTTAAAGATTTCCTTTTATTTCCCATTTGCAGGATGCTACTAAACATTAGCAGAGTGTTAGGGATCAAAAGGTGATTCGCTGTCAAATCAGCTGTAAAGCGGTCAGCGACACATGTCGGACAATGCTCTAATTGTCATTTATTAGGGCCGTTGGAAGAACGCAGACTATTCCAGTTGGGCCCAGCTCAGCCAACACCGCCCATAATCCAGCCTGCCCACCGCAGAGATGCACTGAGAGGAGGCGCTTTACTACCTCAGATGCTCCAAGTTCTCTAAGCACAAACACAGGCCGCCCACGCACCCAGCAGCACCTCTCCCAGTCGCTGGCATCATTTAACATTACGATATTTTCCCTGTGTTTTTTTGACGGATGATGGGGCCTCATTGCTATGCAAGTGCCAGATGAATCATAAACCTATACCATATGCCATCGCAATTTGCTGATGGGACCAAGCTGTTTTGGTGGATATAAAATCCAGGGATTATAAATGCCTGATCCTCAGTGAATGGTAGAGGCACAAGGTGGGGTGAACGCAAGCCATCTTATCTAATGAATTGGGTCAGTGAGCAGCGGGAAAAAAGCAAAGATATAGCGGTATCAACCTGCTACCTTTACTTTGGTTAATCCTCAAAACAGCAGAAATGAAAACAAACAAACGGTTCAGTGATAACATGTTTATCACCTTCATGCAATGTCAAAGCTTTAGGACAAACAACCCAATAAAAGAATAATCTGAATTATGATTTATACATTTTTGTATCATTACTTCTTTGTGGACACATACACTATAGCCTAGGTGTGATCTGCATATATGCATAATAGTAAGAACTTATGATTATTCAGCAAGGGTGCATTAAATAGTCAAAAAAATATATTATTTTAAATAAATGCTATTTTTTTGAAATGTCTATTCATCCAGCAATCCTGACAAAAATGTATGATGGTTTGCACAAAAATATTAAGCTGCACAGCTGTTTTCAACTTTGATAATACGAAATGTTTCCTGAGCACCAAATCAGCATATTAAAATGTTTTCTGAATAATCATTTTGAAATATTGTTGTTTTTACTGATTTGTATCAATGTGTGAGCCTAAGAGATGGTAAAATCTTATGATCAAATGGTGAGCATAAGTGACTTTTTTTTCCCAAAAACATTTAAAGATCTAACAGACCCCAAGTTTTTGAATGTGTATGTCCAAAAAAGACAAAAGGCATTATGAAAGTACGATAGCACTTAATTTTTTCAGTCCT